TCATCTGCTGGAACAAATTCTCCTTTAGTGTATTTTCTGTCTTTATCAGTATTTTATTAATTTTTTCTCTTTTTTATTAGTCCTCTTGTCTGTGTATCCTGTTTTTTTTTTTTTTTGGTTTTTTGCTCGTTGGCTGAAAGAAAGTATGAGTCACTGTCATGTCGGAGCCGCTTGTGAAATAGATTTTATTTAATATGCGTTAAATGATCATTTGCCAGCAGCACGACTACTCAGAAAGGTGCTGTTGTGATGATTCTCCAGGGAAATAAATGCCACTGTGCATTTTCTCGGTAGCAGACTCTGGTAATCCTTTTAAATGAGGGCACAAAACGGATGCTTAATTAATTTGTGCATGATTAATTATTTCTTTGAGTGAATTATTTTAGTCTTCTTGAGTCCAGGAATGCAGGAATATAAGCCGCCTTCCTGAGAAATGAAGGCTGCAGAAGCAGGCGCCCTGCAGAGTTGTTTCTCAGGTTGACTCCTATCACTTTCAGCTGTTTAGAAGAACAACATCCAGAACAAAGGTGGTGAATATTAAACATTCCAGTAGGCATGTGCTGGTTTCCAGTTTCAAGGTTTCCAACTGTCCAAAACCACTGCTCCATCACACCTCTACTACTGCTTAGTCATTTTAATTAGAAAGTGCAAACAATGTGTCTATTTGGAGCATAGAGCAACGCTGAGCACTGCCGGTCTGCTGGCTGAATGGAGGCTACTACGTTTCTGTTCTCTTATATAATGATAAACATAGGTATTTCTAGCTGCTTATAAAAGTAATAATGTGTTTTAACTCTCCTCAAGCCCCTTAATGTCAACATTTTATTCTTCCATCAATATAAAAACATGCCAGAATGGTCATAAGCATTTTAAAAAGTAAAACTTTATTTATAAAACAATTCAATTTCAATTCAGTTTATTTCTATAGCGCCAATTCACAACACACGTCATCTCAATGCACTTTCCAGTTCACCAGATCATCCAGTCAGATTGATTCAAAGTTTTCTATCTAAGGAAAACCAGTTGATTGCATCGACTCATTGACTTAACTGCAATCCCTCACACTAAGCATGCTTGTAGCGACAGTGGAGAGGAAAAACTCCCTTTTAACAGGAAGAAACCTCCAGCAGAACCGGGCCCAGTGTGAGCGGCCATCTGCCGAGGCCGACTGGAGTTCAAGGAGACCGAAGCAGAGATACAAAAAGCAGCACACTTATTCAATATTTTTTGCTAGATCTTCTAAAGGCCAGAACCCACTGAATCTGATCTTGCGTCCGATCTGACAGAAAATCGTGCTGGATGAGGCCGTGGCGTTTAGCACTTATTGAAAGTAAATAAGTCGACACGATTTTACACAAGAGGAGCTTGCATTTCCGACTGAGATAGACCCCAGCTCTGTTTTAGTCGGACTATGCAGTAATTCAGCAATTCTGCAATTTTATGAGTTTGACAGGAAGAGAGACGCTTTTGGGGGAAAATACAAAATAAACGCAGGTTAACAATCTCCTCCAAAAAAAAAAAATAATGAATAACTTAAGGAGAAAAAACAGCTATAGAAAAATTGTGATCCTCTTTGAGCCTCACAAAAAAGAAAATAATGAGGTGCAGACAGAGCAGGTAAGTGCGACATATCTCACGCATCTTTATAAAAAAGAAAGAAAAACTCCCAGATCTCTCTCTGAGAATCGCCTCACACCAACGGCGTTTATTACTGCTTTTTTTCTTCTCTTCAGACATAGATCTCATTGTTTTAATATTGTCAGACTCGTTATGTGGGGCTTTGCTTTACAGAATGCTCCGCTCCGTTTTTTTTAATAGTGTTTCAACATCTGTCCAAATCAAATGTGGGAAATTGTTTAATTTGTGTATAGCACAGAGACAGAAGTGGAAAACAAGTTGAACAGATCTGTCCACGCTGCCTTGTCGGAGCCTCTCTATACGCAGTCATTGTGACATAGAAAAAAGTGGATCAGAAGGTTAAAAAGTGTTACATAACCGGTGTGTTCTGGCCTTAAGGCTAAATGAGTCATTTTTATTATCATTTCTAGGACATCCCCACTTTTTCTCAAACCTGCTGCATTAAATTCTATTCTTGTCTTCTACACCCTGGTGAAGGAGTTATGCACAATATGTTTTCAAAGTCCAACCCCTTTTCAGGAGATTTTATGCCGCATTGTAGTAGGTTGAGTAAGTGAAATATAAATTACTTTATAGTTCAAAAAAATGAGTCTTTAATTGAGAAACATCAGACAAACCAAAACAAAGTTGCCTTCTGTCTAAAAAAGAAAGACACAAGAATGAAATGATCTATTTTGGCCATTAATGAAAACTAAACATAAGAAAAAAATTAATTTACAAATTATTATTCTTTACAAGTGGTAAATTCTCATCAAGGGTCATAAAGTAATATATTAGAAATAAAAAGATAATAGTTAACGGCTTATTGCACTTATATGTGTATAATAAAAGAAATCCAGTTTTTGTTATTAAATGCATTAAAGCTATAGTGGAGGATGTTCTTTTTCCAGGTGGATCATCAGAATAAGTGGTCCTCCTAATTGTCAATCATTCTGGTGATATGTGTTCATATGTTTACGGAAGGCCGGTGGTGAGGCTGACATAGTGGAAAAATTGCAGATCTTCTTTTGGAAAGTAAGCTTGTTTGACTGATGCAAAAAGGAACTTTTAAACAGAGCGTGCACGAGGAGAAATGGGCTTGTGCACACTCTTGCACGCGTTTAATATGCGTTCCCTCTCAGGAGCGGGTACATGGTTGTGCATGTGCATTTTGAATGTGGAGAGGGCGGGTCTTTTCAAAAATTTGCAAAAATCCTCCACTATACCTTTAAATTAGCAGTTCAGGTTAAAATGATGTTATTTCTTCTATCAGGCTTTTAAGGGTTCAGTTCAGCTGTCAAACTAGCAATTTAATATAAATTTTATATGATGGTAATGTTCAGTGGGTTTCAGTCGTTTTTTTTTTTCTTTTTTTCAAATTAAAATGAGTGGTTAATTTATATGTTTTTAAACATATTTGTAAAATATGTTTAAAAACATTATATGTTGATCAGGATTACCCTAGAGTGAGACCAGCCCATGCCTACAGGCCTCACCTCCATAAACTTTCTATCCATTTACCTCATTTTACCATCTGGCAACCAGCTGCAGATTTAGGGCTTTTTTTGTTCAGCAGTTATAAAAATATATTTAGAAGCTTTAAAAAAAAAAAAAAGCTCTGGCCTGTATTTAAATGTGACCTAATTAGCTGTTTATAGCAGGGTTCCTATAGTCTGAGCACTGCTGCGGCCAAAATGTCCGTCAGCGTCATCCCCCTTTTAATGAAAACCTCGTTTGATCATTTTAAATCTATCCTGATACTAAAACTAAAATAACTTCTCCTAAATAAAACATTTTAAAACCAGCTTCACTGGCCTGGAAAACAAAGCTGCCTCTGCAGAGGTTTCCTCTGCTGCCTCCGGAGCTGCAGACAGCTTCATTCAGAACAGCAAGAAGTCCGTAAATCATTAACCGTTGATCCTTCAGCCTCATGCTTTTATCAAGAAGCGTTTACCAGATTTCAGCTGCTCTGTTTGTTCCAGTAATAAGCCCCCCCAGTGGTGGGATCCCTTGATGAGACGGGTCACTGTAACTGAAAGCGTTTGATTGCCGCTTATTTAACAGAAGCTTCTGTCGACGCTTGTCGTGCTGCTGAATTCATGACGGAGATGGAGCGCGAGAGCAAACCGTGTTGAATGTGTTTCTGTCAAAGTGTTCTAACGTTCTATGTGGGATCACCAAAAACAAAACAGCCGCATCTCCTCCTGGTCTGTGTTACATGTTTGTTAGGTGAGACAGTCGGGGTGTTAAGGAGGACTTTTCTTCTTCTTTTTTTTGGCTCTTTGACAGTTAACTCTGGAAAAAGCAGCTCCACTCTGATCATCCTGACCTTAACTAAAAGGGAAAAAGTGTTTCTATTCTGTATGTTTGGAGCCCTGAAAACTGAGGTGTTTGATGTCCGCTTGTATGTTTCTTTGTGTGTGTCTTTACGGAGCAAAAGGAATAAAGTAATTTATATATTTTTTAGAAAACGAAAGCTGTAAAAAAAAAAAAAAAAAAAAGACTGTGGCCAATAGAGTCTCACAGCAGAAATGCTCTCTTAAGACGGACTTGAGTCGACATCTGCACTCACTGCCTTATTAACAGGTTCCACAGCTCCAATCTGAGGGAAGAAGACTTGTTTTAAAGAAATAAAACAAAAAAAGAGGCTTTTCATGGATGGAAAAGGAGACGGTGTACAGTTAGACCCATGTCAGTTTGTACAAATATACCAAGTGAAAAAAAATATTTATTACCTGCATTGAAAAAAAATTGTTTACTTATTGAATGTTACTTGTTTATGTAGAAAAGTAGATGTAATAAAACGCATTCTGCTACATCTGAGTGTTTCCATTTATTTCTGCCGTTTCCTGTTAAAGCCTACTGCTCTGGTTGATACACTATCTGGAAAAGTGTGAATCAAATAAATGAAATCTGGAAAACTTTGACTAGATTTTCCATTTAGCTGCCTTAATGTTCTTCCTGTTCTTGCTTCCTTGCAATCCTTCCTTTTCATTCTTCCCTTCCTGTTTTGTGTCCATCCATCTCTTCCTGTCCTTTCTATTTACCGTACCCTTCTATCTCACCTGTAGTCCTTTCTCTCTTTAAAAGTTTTCACTTTTTTTTTCCTCATGTCCTTCATTCCTCCTGTGTCTTCTTTCCTTAGTGTTGCTTCCTTTCTATGCAATTTTTACTGGAGTTCTTCCAGTTGATATTTGCAATTTATTTAGAATTTAGTCTTTTAAATGTTATAAAAAGTCTAAATGATCTGAAGATGGAACAAGTTTGGAGGTCTGGCTGTTGTCCCCATCAGGGTGAGTGTCATGATGGGTTTCAGATGTTTTACCAACATGCAGAAACAACTCAGAGGCGGATTAAAAGTTTAACAGTTTATTGGAAGGGGATAACTCAAAGAGAACAAAAGGAGGATTTTCAGCTGGGGAATATCCAACGGACAGGTCAACCGGAACCGAAAACACTAGAGGGGGTTCAAAGTGGTGAGTTCAAGGTCTGTGGGAATTTTCAGGTCTAAGCTTAAATCAAGGCAGGGAAGGACTCACAGAAGTAGACTTGAGGTTGCTCCTTGATTCCTGTTTATGGACAATTTACAGACTTTGTGATACTTGGCTGGAGGGCAGACAGGTAGTGGTCGAGAGGAGCAGAGGAGTGGAATGTCAACAAGTTTTCCTGAAGTGGACAGCTAACAGGAGCGGTGAATGTTTTCCTTGAATCTCAGGGAGACAAATGATTCCTTCCAATGCTTGAAGGACCAGGCTTATCCACTAGATCAGGAAGTTATTCTGCCAGAGACCACAAAGGAGGCAAAGGATTAGAACCCTAGGCAAAGAGAGACAAAAACTCAGAAGGTTAGACACAGCTAATCTCAGTGAGGCTAGAGTACCCAATACTGGCAAACACTCTGGCGTCGAGGTGGGGACAGTCCAATGCTCATATACTCCTCTGGTGCTGACCCAACGAGTCGCAGGTGTGGGTGGAAAACCAGAAGAGGCCCTCCAGGCCAACAGGGGAAAAGGGCACCATCTAGTGGATGGATGGAGACAAAAAAGGAAAACACAAAACATCTCCCACAAACAGAAACCCTAACAGTCTGCTCTTTAGACCCCTACAATAGCTCTGAATGATAACTAAAAGTTAGATTGAGAACCTACAAATCCCATATTATAACAAATACCATTCTCAGAAGCTTAAGTGGGTTTCTAAAAGAGTATTTCCTTTACATGTTCATAAGCGAATGACATCAAAATAACCAGAGATTTGCTTTTAGATCTATTTTCCTGTCACTGATTAAGAAATTGTTTTCATTTTACATTAAATAATATGCTATAGAAGAAACTCTCTGCTTCACCTTTATGAAACTTTTCATGGTTTTTTTCCCATATTTTAAAGACTAAAATACAAAAGAATGCAGGTTGTTTGAAATACCAACATATTAGCTACAGCAGATATTAAAATGTAAAATGGTTTTAAGTGAGGTTTGATGTCAGTTGGCCACTAGGTGGCAGCAATGAGTCGCTGATGAAGTTTCAGCCTAGTTGGATGAATCAAACTCCTTGACGCATCCGCTTTGCCTTTTAACAGCTTTAGACTCGCGATATTTAATAATTTTATATTAGTTATAAGTAAAAACTATTATTTATGGGTGATTTGAGTGTAAATGGAGAAATAAAAACTGTTCTCCTTTGCGCTTGGTTTATCCACTCTGCGTCCTGCTCTCCATCCTCACCCCACCCATGCTCTCCATGAGAGGCGGAGGGTGGAGCTGTCCGGACAGCAGCAGCTGCAGGCTGTCTGTCACTTTACAAGATTCAAGAGGAGATGAGAAGTTGGGATGGCAGCAGTCCGTGGACCTCTGCGTGGGGAAATATGTCCAGAGTAAATAAACGGCCCGATGCTGACAGTATGAGTGAAGCCAATGAGAGCGCATCTCTGAACAGGTCGGTGAGGCTGGATCTGTTCAGCAACCTGGAGGACATCGATGTGAGCGCGGATGGGAGTCCGATCCTCAGGTTCCTCATCTGCCTCGTCTACTCCGTGGTTTGCGCCGCGGGTCTGGTTGGCAACCTGCTGGTCCTGTTCTTCATCAGGGTGAGACAGGAGCGCAGGAAGTCCAGGGTCAACTTCTTTGTGCTCAACCTGGCTGTGACGGACCTGCAGTTCGTCCTCACGCTGCCCTTCTGGGCCGTGGACACCGTCATGGACTTCAGCTGGCCGTTCGGAGGCGCCATGTGTAAGATCATCCTGTCGGTCACCGTCATGAACATGTACGCCAGCGTCTTCTTCCTCACCGCCATGAGCGTGACGCGCTACTGGTCGCTGGCTTCGGCTCTGAACAACAGAACCGTGCGCAGGTCCTGCTCCGCTAAGTGGGTCTGCGCGCTGATTTGGACCGTGGCGACCCTGGCCACCGCGCCCACCATGATTTTCTCCACAGTCACCAACGTGACCGGAGAGAAACTGTGTCTCCTGCGCTTCCCGGGCGGCCAGTACTGGTTAGCGGTTTACCACATCCAGAAAATAGTGGTAGGGTTTATTCTACCCATGTCCATCGTCTCCATCAGCTACTTCATGCTGCTGCGCTTCATCCGCAAGCGGAGCATGAAAAGCAGCAACCCCAAGCGGAGGTCCCAGGTCACCAGGTCCATCACGATCGTCATGTTGTCCTTCTTCTTCTGCTGGATGCCGAACCACGCCGTCACTCTGTGGAGCGTCCTGGTCAAACTCAACTTTGTCAACTGGGACAGCGCGTATTACATCGCCCACACCTATGTGTTCCCGATCACCGTGTGCCTGGCCCACACCAACAGCTGCCTGAACCCGATCATTTACTGCCTCATGAGGAAGGAGTTTAGGGACAAACTGCGGGATCTGGTCCGCAGATGATAGTGGGGTTTTAAAGGCACCTGGAGCGATTTAATGACATGCGTAATGCGATTGGCAAACAACCAAGGCGCACGGCTCTAAAGCGCAAAATCGCAGCCCATCCACCCCGCCTGTTGGCTTAAATGTCGTCGCTCTATAGAAAAAGATTCTTCTGACTCATTCCAAGCTGCATGAATGTTAAACCATAAAGAAATTCTCGCTTTGCTTGGTAAATACGCGTCATGTTTAGTCCAGGCGCTGTGCGTAAATGCGCATCACAATCCTCTGCGTTTTTGTGCTTGTGTTTTAACTGGACCGATTATGTGTCCAGTAGCTTTCTGTGTTGATCTGTGAATGTTTTGATGGTAAGTGCATTAAAAGAAACTGGTGAAGCCATGTACAAAAGGATGCCAAACAGTGATTCTTGTAAATGGGCAGAAAAATACCATATATGTGCTATTAGACTATAGGCAGCTTTGAGTAATAATATTATTGTCCAAATGTCTAATCAACAAAAAAATCAATATTAAACGGGTCTGAGGACCTCAGATAAGCACCGCATCAAAAAAAAAGACTTAAAATGAGCACCTCAGATCATCCACTACATGCAAAACATTCCCTCCTCTCCTCACCGCTCTATCAGGATTTGTCTGCCAGGATGAGCTTTGGACCGAACCGAATGTATAAGGATATAATTGGGTCGATTAGAAATATGAACACATCCTTTGTGTTTTTATGCTGCATTCAATGCTGCATAAAGAGCTTGCATTTGTCAGAAACTCTTGGATTATCCTAATAGACGCTGCATGAAACACATTATTTTACCTCACAGAGATTTGTTTGACTCCTTTAAATGAAAACAACTTCACTGACATGAAAAAGCATCAAACTACTGATTGCTTTCCTTCAACTTGGATTGTTTGTTTTGTTTGTCTCATCAAGTGTAAATGGTGTTTGTAAATTCATTTTCTATGTAATCTTATTTTATTAAACTGTCTGCATTTTTGGACCGGCCTTGTTTAAAAAATATATATAAAGACAGTTTTGTGCAGATGGTAAATAACTGATGACTTTTCAAAGACGGGAGTAATTAAGCCTGTGTAAAACAAATGTTTCTGAAATATGCCCATCTCTTAGAGCCATTGATGAACAGGAGTGTTCAATGGAAGTGCAGAGTCATGCTAAGGAGTTTATGTTCCTTAGTTTTACAAACTTAATTATGCTTTCACCAGGTTTTATAACTGAGCAAAAGTGGGGAAAATCTGTTTTTGTGTTTCAATTATTTTACCCCTAAAAATTAGGAATATTATAAATTTTAAACCCTGCTTTGTAGAAATTTTTATGGAGAAACAAGTAAGTGTTTGGGAGATCATAGTCGTCCATATTCTAGGAAGCATAGTTCAGTCAGATTGGAGCGAAATGATCTGTAAGCAGATGTTTTCATGTCTGATTCTCTTTTGGATCTCTGTCTTCTTTCTTCCTTTTCATCTAACCCATAATTAAGCTTTAATCAAACCACTCCATCGTAGCTCTGGCTGAATTTTAACAGCCGCTAACATGTTTGACCGGCAACCTTCACATTAGTCTATAATCTCCTGCAGTCTCCAGCAGGTTCTCTTCCAGGATCACTCTGTATTTATCCATGTCCATCTTCCTTTTAACTCCTGCTTTGCTTAGTTTAACCTTCCCCATAGCATGATGCTACCAACCTCATGTTTCACCATGGTGGTTAACCATATTTGCATTTAGGCTTAAGATTTCCAGTCTCATCTGACTACATTTTCCTCAGCCTCTGCTTTTCCAGCCTTTAGATGAATTCTTTGCATTATCAGATGACTGATTGAATAGTGCAAGAAGGTCAAAGCTTCTGGTAGATTTTTTTAACTTAATCTTATTTTAAACAAATCAAACTTTCTCCCTGGTTACTAATATTGTGTAACACACCAAATAGATCTTCACAGATTTTTTTTATATATATACAGAGCTCAGATTACACAGATGTTGTTGATGTGTGATTTCTGAAACCAACTGAGTCCCCCAGATTTTAGTTAGGACAGATTAGGGCCTGAAAACATAGGCAGACCAAAGGCGGTTAATGCAAACTACATGCAATCCCAATAATGTTTGTTGGTTGTGATACCATAAAATATGAAAAGAGCAAAAAATAACAAACGCAGCAATTATAAAATAATAGATATGAATTGTGAGACATAATCCCCAATCATCCAATTACAGTTTTAAATATAGTTAGTATCCAAAATAAGACCACAAATGAAGTCGACTAGGGGGGAAGGGATCTGCTTGTGCAGAAGACCTCCTCCTGGACCTCACTTTTATGCTAAAATCCCACACCTTCCTGTCTTCCCATCCCAGTTTACAGAGTCTGCAATTCATCTGAAAATAATCAATATCTTTTGTGTTTTTCTTTAAACAACAGCTGCCTTTTTTCCTTTACCAACGTCATAAATGTTTTCCCTTTCCTTACACCATTTACCACTGTCCTGTGAATCATTTCAACACAAAAGAGCTTCATACTTCAAACACGGAGGGGTTTTATGTCCACAGACAGCAAACAGACAACAAAGCAAACACATTTAGTTGATAGCAGCCTGTCATAAAAAAAATGCATCTAATTTCAATCTGAGCTAAATTTTAAGTCTGACAAGCACCAACCTTATTTTTCTCCTAAAAAAGAAAGAATCACAGAAACATGGTGGGTGTCTGATGGGTCAAAATTACAACACAAATTAAATTAATGTGAAAAGAAGAGGAAGAAAAGAAGGGGAGCGGGGTGGTAACTAAACCAAGAGAGAAAATGTCATTTAAAAAGATACTATTGAGGAAATGACAGAAGAATCTGGGGTTTATTACCTCAGACGGGAAACTGGACCTGAACTCACGATTTATGTCCAAACTTTAAATATTTTGGCAGACTTGTACTTTCTTCTCACTCCTTAACTGAGAAGTACAAGTGTTAGATGGGTGAGAGACCCTGTTATGTTCTCGACTGTAAAACTGATGAAAGTATAAAGACAGAGACGTCCCGTCACATTCTGAACCACATGGAGACTCTCTGCCTGGCAAATGCTCAGTGTTTCTACATGCTGCTCTTAGACACTGTCATTAGAATAAAAGCATACAGTAACTAGACCCAAGGAGTAAAAAAAATAAATTGACAGCCTACACACAGTCTTGTGGCAGTGGATGATCTTGATGCAGAGCAGTGAAAGCTAAAATCCGGAGGAGGGTGATAAATGTCCTCTAGGAAGCTTTCAGACCTGCGCTGAAGGTAAATGACTGGAAAGTTCATCTCAGGAGGCTCCATTGCAACAGTTGACTTCTGAGTGTTCAAGCCGCTGCCAGGTTTTCCTGTTCCAGCTCTCACTTCATGTATAGATTAAACTAAATGATAAGTTTCTTGTTTTTATTTTGTGCTTTTTTGTCTTTATTATGATTTAAATACCTCATAAATACCACTGCTGACATGTAGGGCAAAAGGAAGCTGAGCAGTTTCCCTGTACATTTTTTTCCTTTTTTATATATATATTTTTTTATATTCTCATCTTTTTAATCATATTTCTTCCCCAAATGTATTCCCTTGTAACCACTGCAGCTCCAATCAGTTTAGTTTGAGAACAATCTGTGGATTTCAGGAGGATATGGTGACCCAAAATATAAACAAAAGATTGTAAAAACGATCAGAGCCGAGGATAATGGCCATCTTTCATTATTGAAAATCCTGCATGACTATTTTGATAAGTTGTTATGAAAACACATAGTGTGGTTTTTGCGTTTCATGAAGATTATTTTTTCAATTTCCAACTTTTTTTTTTCCCTCGCTGAACTATTACATCACATACTATTCCAATGGAAGACATTTACTGGGCCGGTGCGTTTATTGATTAAAGCGCACCAAGCACCATGCAGTTGTTTGAGTAAGCTTAAGCTTTGGTGACAAATCAGAGCGCAGCGTTTGCTTATTTTACAACAGGAAAATGTCGCTGGTAACCAACCAGATGAACAAAGGGAAACAGTGATTAACGCAGACAATCATTGTTATCAATATTTGTCGTTCAGATTCAAACTTCTTTAAACTTGTAGAACAGCCTTTTTTCTACTGAATATTAACCCATTCAGAAATGATAAATGAATACTGACTAATCCCAGCTGATCAGCTCCATTCTTATTGCTCTGGTAATGCTATCAACCTAAATGCTCCAAAAATGTCAAATTACTGTCATATCTAGCAAACGTTTCAATATATCATTACATTTGCTGAAATCCTGTAGATAAACGGATCCAACGTGATGCACATCTGATGGTGTAAAAACACACCAGTACCTGGTATTTCTATAAAAGATCTGCAACTCTGCTGTTGTGTTTCATCATTTTTTTTCCTCCTGTTTCCTGAGGAGCTGCAGCGTTTTTAACTTAAAAAATAACAAACAATCGTCTCATTCAAATGGCTGAATAAAGTGGTGAAGGCGATGAAGCATCAGGTATTTTCTCTGCAGGAAGAAACTATTATGTGGAGCCATTGGTCCCTGACAAAACGTTGCATCTTCAGGATTTTTTCATTTAATTATAAAAAGATTGCTGTCTTTCTGGTGTGGAGTCTGAATATGGAGTTGTTATGTACTATAACTGCATCTCTGTCTTTGCCTCATATTCTGCATTTCAGCTAATTTGTACACATCCTGTATTGCTGTACATATGTCCAGTATTTAAAATTAAAATCAATAAAGGAGGAAGTATATAAGTATATGAACACCCTGCTATTTTGCAAGTTCTCCCACTTAGAAATCATGGAGGGGTCTGAAATTGTCATCATAGTTGCATGTCCACTGGGAGAAAAAAAAAAAAAAGAAAATCGAGAAATCACAAGTATGTATTTGGGCACCTGTTTATCAGCTAGAATTCTAACCCTCATAGACCTGTTATTCCACCTTCAAAATGTCCACCTCCATTCTATTTATTATCCTAAATTATATTCACCTGTTTGAGGTCATTAGCTGCAGAAAGACACCTGTCCATGCCATTCAATCAGTAAAAATCCTACTACTAACATGACCAAGACCAAAAACCTGTCCAAAGTCACTAGAGACTAAATTATACACCTCCACAAGGCTGGAAAGGTCTACGGGGAAATTGTCAAGCAGTTTGGTGAAAAAAGATCCACTGTTGAAACAATCATTAGAAGATGGAAGAAGCTAAACATCACTGTCAATCTCTCTTGGACTGGGGCTTCATGCAAGATGTCACCTCGTACAGTAGGGTCTCAATGATCCCAAGAAAGGTGAGAAATCAGCCCAGAACTACAAAGGAGGATCTGGCTTGAAAAGAGCTGGGACCACCGTTTCCAAGGTTACTGTGGGTAAGTTTGAAAAAATGCATGGCACAGAAGGTTCCCCTGCTTAAACCAGCACATGTTAAGGCCCGTCTTAAGTTTTCCAATGACCATTTGGATGATCCATAGGAGTCATGG